GCCACCATGCCCAGTTAATTTTTTGTATTTTTAGTAGAGACAGGATTTCACCATGTTGACCAGGATGGTCTCGATCTCTTGACCTCGTGATCCACCCGCCTCGGCCTCCCAAAGTGCTGGGATTACAGGCTTGAGCCACCGCGCCCGGCCTCTTCTTTTTTCTTTTTTCCTCCCTTCCATCCTCTCTTCCTTCCCTCCTTCCTTTTCTTTTTTTTGAGACAGGGTCTAGCTCTGAGCTCTGTCGCCCAAGCCAGAGTGCAGTGGTGCAACTTCAGCTCACTGTAATCTCCTCCTCCTTCTGGGCTCAAGCAATCCTCCTGCCTCTGCCTCCAGAGTAGCTGGGCCTATAGGCATGCACCACAATGCCCATCTAATTTTCGTATTTCTTGTAGATACAGGGCCTCACTTTGTTGCCCAGGCTGGTCTCAAACTCCTGGGCTCAAGCAATCTGCCTGCCTCGGTCTCCCAACATGCTGGGATTACAAGCGTGAGCCACCATGCCCACCCTGTGCCTCAGTTTCTTCATCTATAAAATACCACTTACTTAACAGGGTTACTGTGGAGATGAAGAGAGTATCATGTAAAGTGCTCAGCAATCTGCCTAGCACATGTGCTAGGTGAAAGTTAGTTTTCAAAGCAACTAGACAGTCTAGATAGGGCCTTGAGCTAAAGTTTGTATAGTGAGGCAAAGCCAAGCCCACTCTCCCCCCTTAGGTGGGTACAGTCACAGCCTTGCTCTGGTGAATTTGGCCCTCACCTCCAACCTTCAAGGCCAAGTGCACACTTGGCATTCAAGTCCTTCTCCCAGGGGGGCCTTCCCTGACTGCTCCACCCACCAGACTCTCCTCCCAGCCTCTCAGCTCAGGCATCAGAGCCCTTACTGGGCTCAGAGCCTCCATGACTTTCTTCTCCTGAACCTTCACAGACCAGCTTGGCACAGTCTGGGCACACAGTGGGGCTCCAGGAAGACTTATTAGCTGAGGAACTTCACTGTGGGCTCCTGGTTGTGAGCCAGGGAGCCAATGGCAATTCCTCAGTTCCCCGGAGCTGGAGGCAAAGTAGTGGCAGGTGTAAATCACCTACTTCACCGGAATCAGGGCTCTGGGGAGCCTGCCAGGGCCCCAGCTGCCCTTTTGGCTCTGAATCTAGACCAGCAGAAACAAAGAAAGTGGAGGGTTGCTGCTTCCTCTTCTCCCTAAGAATGTACAGACGAGATCCAAATATCCAGTTTACCTGGGAGACTGGCTGGGAGGAGACTGAGTCTGAGATGAGGGAATCGGCACCAATGGTGCTGCTAATCTCTGTCCCTGCTATAGGTTTAAGAACTTTCCATTATTTTAAGTAGGGCTGGGAGATGCAGGGAAAACGGAGGAGGTTTTCAGTGCCCCTAGTCCAGGTAGTGTTCAGCAGATATATCCCTCAACCCTGTGCTGAACACTGCGGCCTCACAGAAACTAAACCCTTTCCTGGTTAGCAGGAGAAAAAACTGGTTGTCTTACAACAGGGACTGGCGGGGAATAGGTGGCCCAGACGGGCGGGGGGGAATTTGTGCTGCGTTGGGTTCTCGGTACTTCCCAGTCCTCATCTCGCTCCTCCCAATTATTTGGCAGGAATAACTTCCAAGAACCACTGTCTCCCACCCCCAAGTCCTCAGGACCCATCAACACCCCACTCACTCTTGGGGGACAATTAATGGACGTCACTCCACCTCCACCCCAGCGCTTACGGATTGATCTGGGAGGGATTCTGAGCAGTTAGATGGAGAGTTTTAACCACCTCCTCTCCAGCCTAACTTGGGAGCGTGAGTTTGTCCCTCCCGGCCCTACACTGGGGACTCGTCCCCTTGGTCCATGGAGTCTGCACTCACCAGCTCCATCTTCAGCGCCATGATCTTGTCCCCCAAGCCGTGGCCGGTGCTAGGCGCCCCTGGGAGCAGCAGGGTGCCAGGGGTTCCCGGCTCACACTCGCCTCGCAGCCCGCGTAGCAGCCCTTCAGGGGTCTTCCTGCCCACCTTACCCTCTACATCCCGCAGATCAGGCGTCTGGGACTCCACGGTCCCCTCCATGCGGGCCCAAGCCTGAAAAGGGTTGGGCGACTGGACGCCCGGGACCGGCTCCCGGGAGTCCTCCCTTTGCCGAAGCTAATGCGGAGCAGAACCGGTGGGTCCCCGCCCGCGCGGCGCGGGGGCGGGAGGAGGGCGCCGTAACACTCAGAAAAGCCGCGCAGCACCGCCTGTAGATATATATTTGAGTGCTGCGCACACAACCTCTGGCCCCGGATGGCGTGGGGCTGGTCGTTTCTGGATTTGAACCTGAAAGAGCACTCGGAGACCTCAGCGCCTTCACCCCATCCTGGCACTGAATCCAGCCAGGCACACAGCAGGCGCCCAATACACGTTTGCAGAATGAAGCCTAAGCAGCTTCAGTCGGTCAGAGATGTGGGAGTTTAAGGAACAGTGGTAACCGAGAGCTGCAGAGGTCTTGGAAGTCTTCCTGGAGTAGAGGAACTGGCTCTAAAACGGCGGCGGCTGGATTTTAGCTAGACACACACACACCACAGGGGCTAGAATTCAGACTAACGGAGTAGAAAGGGGCAACCAATAACGAAGCTGAAGAGGTCCACATTGGGCTTACAAGCAAGATGCTCCTCAAGCTTGAATGCATATGCATTATCTGCAGATCTTGTTAAAATGAAGATGCTGAATTTTGTAAATTTGGCCTGAGATCCTGCATTTTTTTCTTTTTTCTTTCTTTTTTTTTTTTTTTTTTTTTTTTTTTTTTTTTTTTTTTTTTTTGAGACAGAGTCTGGCTCTGTCACTCAGGCTGGAGTGCAGTGGCGTAATCTCGGCTCACTGCAACCTCTGCCTCCCTGGATTCAAGCGATTCTCCTGCCTCTGCCTTCCAGGTAGCTGGGATTACAGGCATGCAACCGTGCCTGACTAATTTTTTTGTATTTTTAGTAGAGACAGGGTTTCACCATGTTGGCCAGGCTGGTCTTGAACTTCTGACCTCAAATGATCCACCTGCCTCAGACTCCCAAAGTGCTGGGATTACAGGTGTGAGCCACTGCACCTGGCCAAGATCCTGCATTTCTAATAAGCTCTCAGGTGATGGCCATGCTGCCGGTCCACACTTCAAGTAATAAGGGACCACACTTTGAGTAACAAGGTTACAGAAGATGGTTCTGAGATGTGTGGATTTTATTTAACAGGCAATGAACAGCCATGAAAACTTTGGTTTGTTTGGTCTTTTAATTCAAGAAATTCCAGCCCATGGTTGCAGAAGGATTTACAATGAGAAGACAGTTACTCCTGCCCTACCCTTTCATACCTCCAGGCCCACTCCCAATTGGCAAAAAATAACCTTCAGTTATTTATTTATTTTTGGGGGTGTTCACATCCATAACTTTAGTGTTTAGAGTTAACTAAAAGTGGTTGCCAATTGGGAGTGGGCCTAGAGATGTGAAAGGGTAGGGTAGGAGTAACTATCTTCTCATTGTAAATCCTACCACTGCTTTTTTTCCTTTTTTAGAGACAGGGTCTTGTTATATTACCCAGGCTGGACTCAAACCCCTGGGCTCAAGCACTCCTCCTGCCTCCCAAGCAGCAAGCAGCTATGACTATAGGAGTGCACCACTGTGCCCAGCCACACTACTTCTCAATTTTAAATATTCATCTCTCTTTATTATCCTATTCAGATAAATGTGGATATATGGATTTCACTCACACTCTGTAGTTCCTTTCCCCCATTGGCAACATGTGTATATATATATATATATATATATATA